ATGTAATTAATATAACTATTTATTTATAATTATATATTAATAATGTAAACTAGTGTGTGTATAATATATAATATAATTAAAATTGTATTAATATAACATTTTTATTTATAGATATATTATTATTATTATCATATTTTATATATAATAATGCTTCACTTTATTCCTTGTTAGAGGTGTTTTAATTTCTTCTCATTTCTTTATGCTTTATCATTTCTTTACACTTTACATCATTTCTTAAGGAAATTTAAATGTATTAAAACTAGTGTGTGTATATGATATAATATAATATCATACAATTTGTGTATATATGTATGTATGCTTGTACATACATATATGTACAAGCTTTAAATCTGAGGAATCTGGTTATTCCCATGTGCATATTTATTTTAAGACATGATGTAGTGTGTTTAGTGGCTTAGTTTTGAAAACATTTTGGAAGTTGCAAATACCAGCTGTGTAATCCGCTATCATCGGTCGCTTACAGTCACTGTATTAAACCTCCGTAGAGTGACAACAGATTAGACGCAGTGCTGACGCTTCTGTGTTCTTGGCTTGGTCTTGGGTCCTGCTGGCAGCTTGATTTGATGGCTGAGTGTTTGTGTTTGTAGGAACGAAAAGGCAGCTCAGCTCCCCTCCACCTCCTCGTTAACCAGGGACAGCAGTGACCCTGAAACCCCGAGCCAAGAGCCACCCGGCAGCGTGGGAACAGACCCACACAGGATTATGGGAAAGGAGGTTAAAGAGGAACAAAATCGTCTGAAGGGGTTTACGGTATGCAGCTTTCATTCTATTATAATTCTACAAGTATATTCTCGTTCTCTCTCTCTCTCATACCACTTGTTTTTCTTTTCGTCGTCCTTTTTGATTTTCATGCTGAACGGAAATGTTTAAATGACACCAGAGGCCTTTTCACATGTTTCCCAAAGTATTCAATTCTGTGAATTGATGCATCAAGCTGATGTCATGCAAAGTTATTGATTTCACTAGGATGTAAAAAAGGTGTCTGCTTCGTTGTTTTACGGCAGTTGTTTACTTTACACAGTGTTCAAGCCAAAAAAGTGAGGGATGAAATTTCTCATAATAGTGGTAATAATGGTTTCTAAGCCACGTATTATACACACTTAAATAATCTGTGCAAATTAATAAATAGTAAAATTGCACTTTTCATGTGGAAGTCAAAGCCATTGTTGCTGCTTGTTTTGAGAGGTGTTTTTAGCAGTGGTATTTTAGTATTAATTATACACCTTTATAGTATTTATTAATATTTTGAACTAGCTTTTTAATTTCGTATTTTATATTATATATTCACATTTTAATTTATTTTAGTTTTTAGTCATTTTATGGTTTTGGCATTCTTATTGATTTTAGTGTTTTTATATTTTGTAATATATATTATTATATATTTTATGTACTTTAAATAAATGAATAAATAAATATTTGAAATAATTTATTTATAATTATATATATGATTACTGTATATTTTTAATATATAGTTATATATATTAAACTTCATTATTTTTCATTATTTATTCCTTATTAGTGGTTATTAGCATTATGTTGGTAACTGAGAAGTGTTTTAGCAGTGTTATTTCCGTACTGGTTATATACTATTAAAGTATTTATTACAATATCTTAAATTGGCTATTTTTTATATTTTCAGTTGTTCTAAGTTTCTCTAATATTTGCATTTTATTTTATTTCAGCATTACTTCAAACAACAAAAACAGTTTTTAACGGTTTTATTTTTAGTTAACAATAACAGCACTTGTTTTGTCGTCTTGACGTAAGTCATGTGAACGAACTAGGGCTGGGCGATATAGCTAAAAAATTTATCAACGATATAATGTTTCATATCGTTCGGTATCGATAATTATTGACATTTTTTATAACCTTTTTTAAAACAAAAAGCAATAGAAAAAAAATGTTTAAATTTAACCACTGTATTTATAATTAACAATTTATTGAGACAAACAACAAATATTTTTTGTTTTAACAATCAAACACAATAAAAATTAAACAAATATCTAATTTCTAATGTTTTATATGCAGATTAAATAGGTCTTTATTGTACAGGTCTAATTGTCTTCCGAGGCCACAGGAGGGCGCAATGAGCAAAATACTGCAGCACATTTAAATGGTCAACGATTTCAACATGTGTTCGTGTTTGTGTGTGCTGTCTGCGTCACTCATAGTACGTGCCTATATCGTACGCTATATCGAACAATTTTTCTAGCAATATCGAAGAAGGTGTACCGTCGATAAATATCGATACCGTTTTATCGCCCAGGCCTAGAACGAATCTTAAGTGTTTCTACTGCTTAATGCTGAAAAGACCAGCACTTGCCATAATTACATAACAGAGGCTGTAAATGACCTCACTTTAGGCCACACAAGTCAAATACAGTTGCTGCTCTCCTTGGATGATGGTGCAGTTTGCCTTTTTTTATTTAACCGAGTCACTAGTTTGTTAGGAGGGGAAAATGTGAGGTTGCTCTTTCTCTGTGTGTTGGTTTGGATGGGATGTGGATGAGTCAGTTTCTGTCATTTATTTTATGACATCCTCTCTATCTAACAAAGCCTCGTTGTCTGTGAGACACTGCATTCAGGAAAGCCTTCGGAGGTGTTATTGACACTGGCAGGACAGATCTAGATGTTTCCATTCGGTATGACACGCTTCGATTGTGCTGCGAGGGCAAAAACAGGCCGCCAGGACAAACAGCGTTCTCTCAAAACTCCCAAATCTAGACTTTTTCATATCCTCTCTGACATTATGGCTGTAATAACATCTTTTGGACGTACCTGCAGAAAATGGAGGAAAACACTCATTGGATTAAAGAAATAGCAGCATAAACCATTTGTTATGTTACAGGCCATTAGTGCTGAAGAAGAGCTTCATTGTGTGTAGTATGATTATCTTGGATGCGTTTCTGGATATTATTATGCCGGTCCTCCCTTTCTTGTTGTTTAGATACAATAAAGATGTGTTAGCATCAAAAAAAGAATTATTTTTTAAAAGGAAATTAATAGTTTTATTCCATAAAGACGCATTAAATTGACCCAAAGTGACAGTAAAGACATTTATAATGTTACAAAAGATTTCCATTTAAAATAAATGCTGTTCTTTTGAACTTTCTGTTCTGTTTCAAATCATCATGAAAAACGAAACGTTTCACAGTCAACCCCAAAAAAAAAAGCAGCACACGACTAATTGAAATTATTAATATTAAATATTAATTATTATTGATTATATTCATTTTTATAATATTTGTCAGTATATGTTATAAATATAAATTATAATATTGTTAATTTAAGTAAATTACATATATATGTTAATATAAACAATTTAAAGAAATAAAATATTTTAAAAACAATAATGCAAACTAAATTAAAAATATTATTAATATTATTATAGGTCTGATTTCTAATTAATATTAAAGTATCATTCTGAAAAAAGTATCACAGTTTCCACAAAAATATGAAGTGGCTAGTGCTGGGCGAGCAGCATATCAGCATATTAGAATGCTTTCTGAAGATCATGTGACACTGAAGACTGGAGTAATGATGCTGAAAATTCAGCTTTGATCACAGGAATAAATTAAATTTTACGATATATTAACATAGAAAACAGTTATTTTAAATTGTAATAATATTTCACAATTTTACTGTTTTTGCTGTATTTTTATTAAAATACATGCAGCCTCGGTGAGTATAAAAAGTATTTTTGGTTGTATATCTGGACCTGCAGTATTTCATACATAAACTGTTGCTGCCAAAAGTCAAGAGTAATTTCCAGTAAAACATGGACTGTCTCGTCCATTTTTCTTTTTTTTTGGACTAGTTTTAATTGTTAGATCCCAACATAAGCTTTAGTTCAGACGGTTTTCTGGCTTGGTTTTGATTGGCACAGTGCTGGCGATGTTCTGGGCTAAAGCAGGTTTGTAACAATGGCCGCTTGTGTCAGTGCTGGTAGCAGAGGTTACCTGAGTGTATCGTGTATGAGAGCCGTGCTCATTATGCTTTATGGAGACTTTTACTGGGAGACACGAATCCCCAGGGACTTAACATGATGCCAGACGGCACCACCGGTCCAAAAGCTCGCCATCATCCAACTCCAGTTCTCCTCAGACTGTTGTTTTGCCATGACTGCAGTTGATTGAAGGAGAAAATGAGACCGTTTGTGCAAATACTCACTATAGCACCTCTAGCGTAGTGTTTTTAGCATTAGAAAACTGTTCATTGATGCAGAAAATGACCGCTTAAACCAGCCTAAGGAGCTATAAATCTACTGTATTATATTCGATAAATTAATTTCTAAGGCCGCTAAATGATCAACATGATTGCTGAAAACCTCTCACACACAATCTACTACATGCCTTCTGTCGTCTGATTAATAGTTTTGACTTTTTTTGTCAAGTAAAAGCTCTTTTAGTGTAATTGTGCAAACATAAGCCTTCAGCTCGTGCTTCACGTGTGTTACGTAGGCCGTGTCATTTGAAATTTTTAGATCCTGTCAGTTTTCCACCGGAGCCGCTCCCGTCAGTTATGTGTTCTGCGCGCGACTCAAATACTCCACCCAAATTTAAAGGCTGCTGTTGGTTAATGAAGATTTGACGAAAGAACTCGTGGCTCGATTGGACTCTTGTCGTGTCAGAAAGTGATAAGACTTTCAGTTTTATGGACGTCACCATTTTTGATTTTACTTTGGTCAAGGAATACGGGCTTGACTCCCGTTGCACGTTCATACAGACAGTATTCTAAACACAACTGTAAGCTGCTGTGTGAACGGGACATTTCGAGACACACACCTGTAAGTAAATGCGGTTGTCAATCCCAAAAACTGACAGTGTGAACGTAGCCATACATATATTATGTAAACAAAAACATTTATTTTGGATGCGATTAATCGTTTGACAGCACTAATATAAATATATTAATAATATATAAATATAACAATTTAAAAATACTACAAAAAGTGTTTTTTGTTAAGTATCATATTTGATACATTTGGTTTTGGGCACTTTATTTAACCAGCTAAACACCAGTTTGACCAGATTGAGAGACTAACTTAACCCTGTAAAGCCTGACATGAAATAATGGGTGACGTTAGTCTCTTAATCTGGTCAAGCTGGTGTCTAACTGGTTAAATAAAGTGCCTAAAACCAAATGTATTGTGTGTGTGTATTGTTTTTTTTCTGGTCATTATTTCATGTCAGGCTTTACAGGGTTAAATTAGACTCTCAGTCAGGTCAAGTTGGTGTTTAGCTGGTTAAATAAAGTTCCCAAAACCTGACGACCAAAAGCCTGTCTATTTTCACGCATTATGAGGCACCGCGTCCATCCGTTGGTGAGCGTGTGTGTGTTTGTGTTTAGTGACGTGAGGTAAACATGACGAAGAGGCCTGTATTTCCCTCTAATGGCTCCCAGATGGCTCGCCACATGCTTCATATGTGCTACGAGAGCGTTTGGCTGACATCGCTCCACAACTTTACACTGAAAGACTCTCAGAAGAGCTGATGAAATACGGCACTAATTACTATCAGCGCTGGGAACGAGCAGAGGAAGCCCTTCAAGAGCCGCTCGGTGACATAATTCACTGTCCCTTAGTTTTCATCATGAAGGAAAGCCTGGAGTTTGTATAAAGCTTGGATTGATTTGAAGCAGGCGTGTGGAGAAGAGACGTCGGAGCGTGTAATTACACCACGCTTGTAACTCAAATGCTTCACACTCGCAAATAGCCCGATAACGTGCCGCTGTGCGATTAAACTCGAGGCTTGCACTCTTTGAGTGGCGTGTTTATAAATGCTATTAGGCCTTGTAAATTTGCTGCGCTCTCCAAATGGCACTTTCTCAGGCGACTGTTTCTTTCTTTCTCTCCGGCATCACGCGTTTCTCTCTCCCAAACTCTGACTCATTCATCCTGAGCTCATAATCAGAGAATGCCTAGCTCAGAAATGAGCCGATGGGGTGCTGTGCATGAAAACCGGTTTTGTCTGTGTGAAAGAAAGCACCGTGGAAGTTTTGCATGATTTTGCAGTTGGTTCTCCCATATATATTGCCATTTATTGTTAGTTGCCAAATTCTAATTTGTGGAAATCTTTGAGATCTTTTAATTGTGCTTTTTGTCTTCTGTCCTCATTCACTTTTATTGTCAAAAATAGTTTTTTGAAAGAAAGGATAGTGTAATTATCAGTTTTAAGTAGTGCTGTCAAACAATTAATCGCGATTAATCGCATCCAAAATAAAAGTTTTTGTTTACATAATATATGTGTGTGTACTGTGTATATTTATTATGTATATATAAATAAACACATGTATGTATATATTTCAGAAAAAAATTTGTTTATATAATAAATATATTTATTTATAATATAAATTATATGAATATAAATATAGACATGTAAATATTTTCAAAATACTGTATGTGTGTGTATTTATATATGCATAATATATAAACACTGAACATATACTATGTATAACACATACATTATGTAAACAAAAACTTTTATTTGGGATTCGATTAATCGCGATTAATCGTTTGACAGCACTAGTTCAAAGTGAACCTTTGCTTAAAATAAGTACAAATAGCATTGAAGCATTTTTTAATGCTTTTAAAAAGTATCTGATACTCGCAAAGGCTGCATTTTTTTCTTTTTTTTTTCTTTATATATATCTTAAAATGTAATTTATTTCTATGATCAAAGCTGGATCATTACTCCAGTCTTCAGAGTCACATGATCCTACAGAAATCATTCTAATATGCTGATTTGCTGTTCAAGAAACATTTCTGATTATTATCAATGTTGAAAACAGTTGAGCCACTTCATATTTTTGTGGAAACCGTCATACTTTTTTCTCAGAACTATACTTTTGTCAGACTCTGTTCCATGTTTCGTGTGTGTCCTGCTCCCCATGTGCCTTCCCATGCCCTTATTTGGTTTGTTTCCTGTTCCTCCCCTGATTAATTAAGTTGATTTCTTCCCAGGTGTTTCCCTTGATGTGTCATGGCTCCCAGGTGTGTCTCGTCATCCCCTCCTCCTGTGTGTGTGTATATAAAGTGTTCCCAGCCCCTAATTCTCTGTCCGATGTTGAAGGTCTTCCTGAGTTCGTCTCCCTTGGTTCCTTGGTGCAAATAAAGTCTTGTGTAAAGTATTCTCCAGCGTCTCCTCGTCCCTCGTGTGTGTGCAACGTGACAGAACATCGGACCGAACTGTAAGCGGCATCCCTTCCCCGTGTTTGATTTCCGGTTTTTGTAAGTTTTTGTTTTTCCTTTTTTCCCGTGCACTCCTCCACGTCCCGATATGGAGGAGCGTTTGATGTTCCTCACAGTGGCTCAGGCGAGCCCAGACCCCATTGTCTTCGCGAGGGCGTTTGTGCCGCTCGCCCTCGCCAGCTCCCTC